ATATTACATTTAAAAAAGTCTTTAAAAAGGGTCGTGTCACAGTTCCACACCTAGCCCATCCTTGCAACATGCAGGCCTTGGCTCCGTAAAGGCTGTCAAACATTAAACGTCAGGCGGAGATATTTAAAAAAAAAACAAAAAAACAATACAACCAAAGCCTGGGAGGGAACAAGGCAAAAGGGAAACAAAAATTAAATAGCTGGCACGAGGTAGACTGTACATACTGTACCCTGAGCGGTGGCAGGGAGCCCAGACTGGCGAGCTGCCAAGTCCTCTGTACAACAAGCAGAGAAAGACAGACAGATGGACAGACAAACAGAAAGTGAGAGACATGAGTGGTAAGCAGAGTGGGGAGGGAGGAGGTGTGTCGGCAGCGGTGTCTGAAACGCTCCACATCCACGACACGATGTGCATACCAAGAAGCCTCTCCGCTCTCCTGCTTCATCTCCCCAATATTCTGCCTTTTGTGAGGCGAGCTGAAGGATGACGGCGGCAGTGAAGGATGAGGRGAGGGGGCTCAGGTTGAGGGTTTTTGGGGCTCGGCGGAGTGTCGTCGTCACAAAGAGACACGATAAAAAAAATACATAAAAAAACGAGCTGCGGTGTCAGAGCGAGAAAAAGCCTTGAGAGTCAAATGGTTTAGGCGGAGGAGGAGAATAGAAATACAAAAGTACACGAAAAGAAAACCACACACAACAAAAACTATCAAAGAATCTTTGCCTCGGCGCTGTCTCTTCCCTAACCGTCGCCTGTCTCGACACAAGCGCTTGTCTTGCCTTTTACGCCCAACTAAAGCGCCTGTGAACCAACACTGATGTGTGTAACAGTACAAGTTGATGGCGTGCATCGAGACAGCCTTGCATAAAATGAGAGAAAAAAAAAGAGAAAAAAAAAGTTTGTGTACTTGCTGCCACCGGAGCTAAAAATACACTGCCCACATCTTCCKCTCAGTTGCCTTTTCTCATGGTAGAGTTCGTGGTTCTTTCTAGAGTTTTCAGAGTTCTTCTTTTTTCCATTTGATCTCCTCTCACAAGACTTTTACTCAATGACAACTAAGAGCCCTTATTAACCTCACCTGTGTCTCAGACTTTTTAATTTTTTTAATTTTATTTTTTTACAAACAATCACTTGAAGCCTCACTAAAGTTAATTTGATAATTCTTTGCATGACTGAAAAAAAAACAAAAAAAATTACAATGAAATAAAAAAGAAAAGCTAAAAAAAAATCATCCACTGCAGTTTTGCATTGAGGTAAAATATGGTTGACACCACTTCATCATTTAAAACTTGTCAGTTGTTATTACCAAATGTAACAATACACATGTATTAAGACCGCATGCTGCTAACTGCCGCTAATTAGCTGACAAAACAACCTGCTCTAAGTGATAGTTTGGCACCTCACACTCTTGTCCAAACACTTTCACATTTAGATCTATCTTGCAAAGTGACACCAAACAAAAGGCTAAATTTGAAGCTTCAGAGCAGCGGGTTTCAAACAAATGCTTGGCTTTATAGCACCATTGCTTAAGCATGAACTGTGGTTAAAATTCATAGTTTCTGCTTTGTTAAACTGGTACTCTGTTAAATGTGTATGATTCTGAGCGGCAGAAGGCTTGTAAAATGTTGAAGAAAAATACAAAGTCTCTTTTTTGTATTAGAAAAAAAGACAAGCATGAAGCATGTCTGCCACTGAAACTGACCTCTTTTCTTAATCTTTAAGATTTATTTAACCACAGACTATTTGGTGTTTAATAAATCCTTCTGTTTATATCTAATGACTTTAATTATTTTAAAAGTGCCCGTTAAATTAAAACACTGACTCTTTCACTCACATTGAATGAATACATGGAAGCTGTGCTCTCCAGTACTGTATATGGTGAATATTAAACAACACCACTTAAATATCTTCTAAACCAAATTACATAATTTAAGCAGGAAGATATTCCTCGGACATATTTCCWGCTGGAACCTGATTCTTTCGATTACAAAGCTGCACCAACAGACTGCTTCTGTGTCTGCACATAAGATCACCCTCAGCCACTCTCCATCTCCAGTCAGTGAAAAGTCTAGACTTAAAGAAAACTTCGACTACATGTTTGCTTTAGTTTCTTACATGAACCGCAGTTTTAGAACTGATGCCTCAGGGCGATGCATATCTGAGGAAACATATACAATAATTGGAGACACACTGGGGAGACACGAGTGCGGTAAAGTCTCTAAATATGCACGGTCTCATTTTTTTGTTGTGTTGCAGCACTTTGTCCCTCTACTTTGACAAGTAAGAAGGGGATGTGGGGGTGTGGAGTGGGGGGGTGCGGGGGGTGTTTCATGCATGCGCAGCAGGGATTGTGAAACCGGGGAGTAATTTAAAAATAAACTGTGAATATTTGCTTGGAGCAACTTTTGCTTGTGACACACTGAGAGTTGTGTGCCGAGCCAATTCACCGGCACAGCAAGGGTTTGTCATTCATCTTTGTCATAACGTAGCAAGGGTGTCACCATCAATGTCAGTCAATGTTTAACAGTCGGTGAGATACGAACAAACAAATGATACTAGCAATTATTCTTATCTGTCTGCTGGCTGGAAGGGTGGGGTGGAGGTATAAGGGGTCTCGTTATACTCCAACTACTGATAATGTTGAGTGGACTTTACAGACTCCTAATTTATGCTATTGGGTTCCATCTTTAGGCCAGCATTGGTAGCTGGGTTTGGGGATTACAGAAGTGCAGAAGGAGTATATATATATATATAT